CGCTTTATTTTACCCCCCCCCCCCCACGCCCCTCAAAGCTGTATTTTTTAGTCTCCAAAGCAACAAAGTGCACAGTCTGTGACAGTGTTTCCAGTTGTTGACCGATCTACCTTCAGTACATGACACGTAGTTTCAAATGACGTAAAAAACCCAGTGGGGGCTACGATCTTTCAACACTTGCAAAAATCCTTGTTGGCGCAATCTTCCAGATCTGCACGTTTTTACTTGCACGGTACATTAAATTTGCTGGATTCGGGTAAGGTAATTATAAAGTAAAGGTCAGGGTTAGGGGGTTATATTATTATAATGGTCCCTAGTCTTGACCCTTTCGTTTTTATTACCCGAATTCAACAAATTCCAAATCCGGCAAATTTTAATATGAATAAAATTTGCAGCATGTGTAAGGTCGCCTTGTCGGTGCTCTGTCGTCTGCTCATCTGTTACTGCGAGCTGTTAGCGTTGTGTTGTCCAAAGCCTAAGCTGTGTTTTTGATAATTTTATATCTGGTTGTTATGTTAGACCGCAGTCGCCGAGTTTTCCGCTCATTGGTTTTTGTGTGAATAAAGTAAAGGTCGACTCAAGTTTTTACTGTTTTATGCTGAACGATAACGACGTCAGTCTGCTTATGAATGCGGAAGGAATGGATATAATATATAATATATATATATATATATACTATACACCTTTTTAAAAAAATAATTCATTATAATTAACGATCCCTCCTTGCAGAAATGAACGGTCTTCCTCTGTACGATTTTCTTCCGTTTGTCTTGCTTGTCTCATGCAAAACCTTTCATGATGAATAGTTAAGTAAATCTATCTTATTACCATGCACCCCCCCTCCCTCCACCCTTTTCCCTGTGCTTTGGACTGGACCTCGAGGTTTGTGAAGCCGACAACAATAAAATATGATTAATGAGGGATAGTTAACTCGGTGACTTGTAATTGTACGCGCGCCCTCGCGTCCTCATGTCCTCGCGTCTTTCTGTCCTCGCGTGCTGGCTCCCGCCCGACCCTTCCACCGTCCGCATCCTGGTCTCTTGGACCTCATTAAATTGAGAGGTAAAAAGTTCAGTCCATCCTTCTCTAACGATCACCTATACCTGTCTAAGACGATCACCTGTACAAAAGACCTCTTCACCCCCCCCCCTTTTGCGTTTTAAAATGATATTATGAAGACACTGTTCGAGACGTCTACTAATTCTGGTAACCATATAATCTCCGCTGACTAGGGGTTTCAAAGGGACGATTTATAATGGTGACTGACAGGGTAAAAAATAACCACAAAACTAAAGATGCAGAATGAATTTTTAAAAATGTACATATTATTATGTACAATACCTATTGCGAAATCCAAATATCCAAAATGAACCCCCCACCCATGTGGGCGCCACACAAATCTACATGTATTCGCACCAAAATCTAAAGCAAAACAAAGAAAAAAATCCGTTGTTACAATATGCGCTTACCTCTGAAAATGGAGTCTACCAGTCTTACGAACTAACTTTGTATTCAAATGTTGATGTACGAGCTGACACGAGATAACCACACCCGCCCATGGACCAGCCCCACCTTCTCCCCCCCCCCCCAAAAAAAAATACAACCCCAAACAAAACAAACACAACAAAAACAACAACAACAACAATAACAACAGCAACAACAACAATAACTACCAGTGCTTGCACCAAAATCCTAAGCAAAATGAACAAAAATTACGTTATAATATATTAGAGAGATCTATAGGCTACATGATATAATGTCTCATAAAGTGTAGTCTCCCAGTCCCCCTCACTGACATCTTGTATTCACATTTTAATGGACGTCATGATGGTCTTGTACACAGCACCCAGAGACGTCTGGAGAGAGAGAGAGAGAGAGAGA